ATTTTATTTTCTGCGATTCATTCCAAAAGAATATTTTTTTCTCTGGATATCAATTTGTACAAAATGTATATCGCATATATTCTATTAAAAATAATTACAATTTAATATCTATCACATTCAAACAACTCATTATTTCTCTTAAAATTATTCTTCTTTTAATTTATAATATTTCGTAATTGTCATCCATCATAAAATCCAATTATTATTCAAAATAATTACAATTCAACAATTTCAAAAAATTATTTCTTTTAATCTTCTTTTAATCTTGTAATATTTCCTAATTACCAATCAACGATATAATCTAATTACAATTTAATATCCATCAAATATTAAGGATTTCACAAAATTATTTCTTCTCCTGTCAACTTAATATTCTCTCACATGTTTCACTTTGTACCTTCACATCGTTCCACATTTATCGATTTACAACATATTCATATATTTCTCAACTCACGTTTCTTAAATAAAGTCACTTCATAAATTCCTCGCACGTCAAAGAACGTATTTCTAAACCAATTTCTGAAATATCGCGTATTTCCTATGGAACAAGTGGAAAAATCGACAAACTATTCCCAACTACGATTGAACAAAGTTCACTTTCGTTTCTCTTTTGAAGCAAGTGTGCTTCTTCGCGCACCGTAAAAACTATCAAATTACAAAATACCAGCCTTGGTAGAATCTGATATTGGGCAACTCGATAGAAAGGAAACATATATATATATATGTGAATCGATCTTTCACTTTCTTTCGCCTGATCCTTATTTTGCGAAAATTTAGGAATACACTTATTATTATACACATTTCTCATGAAACTACATTTACAACATTTACAACATTTCTCAAGAAACTGAAATTGTGCAATTTGTGAAATTTAACGAGATTTAGAAATTTGTTCGTTTGTTCGAAATAAGTGAAAGCTTGGATTTAGAAAATTATTGAGTTGACTATATATTATTATTTTAAATAATTTATTAGTTTATTCTTTTTTAATAAGTAAAATATCGTTTATAATAAAATTATATAAAAATTTGCGTGCAAAAAAAAAATATGATCGAAGAACACGAATCTCGATTCAATATCACGTGTTTGTTTTTCCTCTGCTAGTCGATTATCCATTTCTTGTCGTTCACGATATGTTTTAACAATTATCTAATCTAAGAATCTATGGTTACATGATTTTGTGCAAAAAACTATCATTTCATTAAATTCTTTGTCAGTGTTCATTGAAATGTAACAGTGTAAAAAATGACGACTCGTCAAAAATGTTATTATTCACGTCAAAAAAACTATTCACGATGAAAGGCAAAAATCAACATCACCTTTACTATTCAACGTAGTTCTTACTTTTTCTTATTTCACAATGAACTTTAAATAGAAATTTCTTCATCTTTTATACCAATAGAATAACATTTCAAGAATAACATCAAATAAATAATTCCAATAATAAATCGTTGTCATTTAAAATTTAAAAGTCGATTGATTTCATTCGCAATTCAGTTCGAAACTCGATTTATTAAATTTTCATCGGGGAAAAATTTAAATTATTCACAAACAATAAGTCATAAAGATATTAAAATCCGACATGTAGATCGCGAAATTAAAAATTTTATGAGTCCAAGTGAAGAAATGGAACTTGAATTAGAAATCTATTTTAACCTCTTTCACTTCTTTGCAAGATGCTTCATATTTTCTTACAATCTTTCGCATTAAAATTTTTCATAATTAAAATCTTTTCTTCTCATTTTTTCAAAACATTTTCTATCTGAACAAATTTAAAAAAAAAATAAAATTTTGTCCAATTCAAACTCAGAGTGTACGAAGTTTCACGTGCACTGAATTAATAAAATTAGAAATAATAATAATAATAATAATAATAACACATCAAATTTTGTCATCGAAACGCATACAATGTTCATAAAAATTTTGCAGATTCGTTGCCTTACCTTGGCCAAGCAGCGACGAAACGTTCAATCCAAAAGACAATGGTACGAATAATCGGGAACAAAAGTATCGGCTACGATAACCAACCACGGCCGGTCACGAAGAGAGAAATGCAAGACACTCTGTGCAGAGAACCGAAGAGATGGAGAACAGCCGATAGAGTGGGAACGATTACCTCTTGGACCGGTTCTTCTTTATATCGTGTGATGCCCCACTCTCGATTTTCTCTCCGCGAGTAGCATTGAACGATGAAACACAAACATTCTGGACACAATCGGTCCTAGTGGACACTAGGATAAAAATAGGAGAAAAAAGCTTAAAATTTTACGATGATTTTTTAATGGTGAAAATAGTTTGTCGTTGATTTTTCAAATTTAATATGCAAAAGAATAAGTAAAAATGAGTAATGGTAAGAATGCCTCCAATATTTAGATTCAATATGCAATAGATACACGTTTCTTATTGTTAGTTTATTATTATAACGTGATTAATTAAGAGAACTAACTATGAAGATAGAATGATTATCGAATTTCTATCATAAGGCTCCTAATTTGATGATTTCATTGATGAAATTGATATTATAATTATTGTTTTTATCGTTGAGTCTAGATTAGTTAAATCAATGTAGATTTTTTTTGTATTTTAATTTAATAATATTTTTAATTCTTCTGGAAAATGACAAAAATTAATGAAAATATTTTTTGTTATGAATTTTATCTTAAATTGTAAATCAGTTGAATAGAGTTGCTGATAATATAGATTTTTAGTAATTTATTAATTTTAGAATAGTTATAAGTTATAGTATAGGTTAGTATAAGTTAAAATTTTTTTCTTTACAATTTTAAAATAAAATAATCAAAAACTTAATAAATATAAGAAAATTTATCAATATGTGATGATAACTTATGATTTGTAAAATTTTACTATAATAATATTATTCCAAGAGAATTAATAGCGTTATAGATCATCAAGATTTAAAAATGGACTCCTGTTTTGATTTTATACATTTAACCAGTCGCATAGATTACGTTCATTTAATATTTCAATACTTAGCAAAGAATTTTTTGTTTTGTTTTAAAATAAAAAAAAATTTAATCCATAAAATAATGTAATAATTTCTTCAGAATTATACGTTGAAGTTTAAACAATCAACTAGATACAATCATCACATCAAATTTTTTTAAATATAATTATGTTGTCTGACAGGCTTTTTTTCTATTTTTTTATATCGTATATGTATTAATATTTTTACTTAATTTTTTCGATGGTTTCGATTAGACTTCTTCTCAATTAAATTAGATAAATTTAAATTTGAACTTAATTTACGATTGTGCAAAAACTATATCGGTAAGATATCTAGTAATCCCTAAATTTCAATTTACTAGACTAATATATCTAGAGACATTTATGAAAATGTAAGCATACGAGAAAATGATGATAATTATATTAAACCAGTAAATTTTCTTTTAAAAAAATGAAAATTTTAAGCAATATAATAATATCAATGCATTTATAGAAGTATAATTTTATATAAATATAAAAATAAGTATATCGTTTAAATGTTAAAGATCATTATGCCAATTGATTTTATTACATCATTGTTGACATCAAACAAACAATGTACTTATATAAACAATTATTAGTTTTTAGTTTAATTGGAATGAAAATTAGCATTTACAATGATTTATATAACTTTGCATCTTATTAACATAGAAGATTCTTCTGTTTTAAAAAATTAATGACACATAATTGTATATATTAAAGTATTATTTATTTTTTACAATTATTACAATAATAAAACTAAAATAATAAAATATAAATTAAAAAAAGATATCAAAAATTGGTACAAATTTTACAAAATTCACAAAAAAATTTGTCATATTGGTTAAATCAAAAAATTTTTCATATGTCTTCGTCGAAAAAGAAAAATTAATAAAAAAATGAAAAATAAAAATAGACCAGTTCAATAAAATATAAATATCATAGAAAAATAATGGAAAGCAATGAAAAGCAATGCACGAATTTTAGAAACTTCTGAAAGAATTATATAATAGAAAAGAAGGAAGTAACGTAGCTATTTTTTATAACCTGATAATCATCAAAATCCTTTTTCCTTTCGAAATCTAACAGTTTTATTATTACATACGACCTATTTACTGACATGGATTGTAAGTTTATGTGCGTTAGTAGGTTAATTGAAAATTATTGCAATCTACAAATTATAAAACAATCCTGTTGTATATTTCAATTTTATGCAGTTAGATAATTGTATCAATTATATATTAATTATTACGCATGATTATAAAATTTTTATACATTTTTTACAATTTATACATTTTTAAATTTTTTTTTATTTTTGCATTTTTTTTTATACATAATTTAGATTCGTAATTAAATATCAATTGAATCGTTCAAAAAACTAAATTCATCAATTCTATTGAAATAATAGTGAAGTCAAAAACTATTATGCAGAGTATATTTTTATTTATATACAGAAATTACAATTTCGACAGATACATTACAAAAATCGATATATCACATAGAAAATATATTTTTTTTAAATTCATCATATATTTATATCTTCAAGTTATTTTATGTACTTATACACGTTCATTCTACATTGAAATTTGAAGAAAAAGTTGACTTCCTGAAGAAAAAGTATAACAAAAACGAAAAAGTTTATATTTAGAATTTTTAAAAATCAATCTCTTTATACTCTTTATATTCTTCAAATTCATAAAAGAATTAAGCGTGAAATTTATCATTAACGAAAGTTCTTCGACAAAAATGTTTAAAAAAAAAGGAATATTATTTTTAAATATTAGTTTCAAATGATACAAAGAAAAATTTCTAAAGTAAGAAATTTCTGAAGTAATAGATTAATCAATTTCGCACATTTTTAATCACTTTTATCTTCAAAATCAATCATATATATTTTCACACGAAGAAATCAAAATTATAACTTCAATATTATACTTTTTACTCAAGAAAAATTTCAAGTAGCTTCTATAAAAATAAAGAAGTCGAAGATCAGTCGATTAATTAAATCGACATATTTTTTAAGAGGTGAGTGTGAATGCGCCAACCATCGAGAGTATTATACCTAAAATTGTGGTAAATTTGTCCGCCATTTTGAAATTTGCTGAATTTGTGTCTAATTTCGGCAATAAATCTGTATCTTCGTTCTTTGTTTCTTCCTGTAATTAAATATTTACAAATATTTTTATAATTAATATTTTTTTAAAAAATATGGTTTGTTAAAATTTAATTGTAATTTTGAATATTTTAAATCATATGCAATAATTTCTATTTCAATAAGTATATACTTTATAAATTGCAATAAATTATTATAAAATAAAACTTTGAATCATAAATACCTTCGCATTTAAATCAGCAACGGTTTTAATAATTTCATTCTGCACAAAAGAAAAGACAATATTAATTATATCGAATGATAATTATTATGAAAGATATTATTTATATAACAATATTTTTAATTAAAGAACAATATTTTTAATTAAAGAACAATATTTTTAATTAATTAATTCCAATTAATTAAAATTTCAATTTTGACAGTTTAGTATTATGTAATTTACAATTTCTCTTTCAAAATTAGTTTTGAATTATGGTGAAATTATTTTTATTTCAAAATAAAAGTTATACTTTTCATTTCAAAAAAAAAAAAAAAAGGAAAAATGATGTAATTTTCAATTCGTTTATCCTCTTATATCACGAATGATAATAAAAGAAAATTAACGTAAGTTGAGAGCGTGAATCATCGTGTCTGACACAGCAGTGAAAGTGTTTATTTTTTTCCTTTCGTAACTTATTAACAATACGTACACATTCGATAAATAATTGTTTATAAAGTAAAATTATGTCTCACCTTATTAACTGGAGCATCAATCAATTTCTTGTCGTCATCCTGCATTAGAATATATACATATTATTACAAATTAATTAATAATCAAATGCTGTAATGTATGATTGCAATTTTTTGAATATATAATTATAATTTTAATTATAATTTTATATAAAGATATTTTGTAATTTATTTAACTAAGTGTTAACTAAGAAGAACATTAATCGTTTATTAATTTATCGTTTGTACTATATATTTAAATATTTATTACTTCTCGAATTCGAAAATTTCGTGATTTCACAAAATTTGAATTCGAATTTTTTAAAGTTTTAAGAATTTTAAAGATTTTACAAAATCTCGAGAGTTTTGAAATTCCAAGAATTTCGAATTCGAATTTCCAGTTTCGAAATCTTACAAATCTTTCGAATTTGAGTTTTTTTCTAAAAATTTTAAAAATTTCAAAATCTCACATAGTCTTGAATTTGAATTTTGATTTTTTCACAAGTATTCAAATTCGAATTTCAAAGTATCGAATTCAAATTTCGAGATCATAAAATCTCAAATTGAAATTTCTAAAAAATCTAAAAATATAATATATACATTTTTTTTTCTCATTAAATTGACCGGGATAGCGCGAACGCTGTTCCCGACTATCAAAAATTATACGTCCGAGATACCCACGTTAGGGGTATTCGCAGGGGTCAGCTCAACCATGGTGCAATGGAAGAGCCTCACCCTGGAGGAACCGCCTTTGTGATCACGGTATCCTCCACGCCAGGTAAGTATGCTTTCCTCCTGTGTTCCATTATATTTGCTATAGCTGCAGAATACTTTTAAAAACGAGAATCAAGTTCATTCAAAACGCACCATAGCGGCCAGTTTCAGAACTAAATGAATTTCTAACTTTGTGTTAAAAAACTCTTTTTAAAACAATTCTAAAAGCATATAATATTAATTTGTTTTATTAAATTCGTTTTATGTTTATAAATATATTAATAAGACAATTAATAAATATAAAATAATTTTTAATTTACATTGTACAAAATTAAAATTATATAATATATGTGTTATATAATATATGTAATATTATATATGTATAGTTGTAGAATTGCAATTTGATTTAATTTTGTATATTATATTGCTATAATTAATAATACATTGGTTATTTATAAATGCAAAAAAAATTTATGATTCATATGAAATATTGAAATTTTATTAAAAATTGAAAATATCTGAAAAGAGCTTTATATTATATGTACATATATTATATTTCTACACAAAATCTGAAATCAATTTAACTAAAATTGGATCATCTTTATTAATTCTCAATTCCGTGCCAAAAGGAGATTCTCTTTTTAAAGAGAAATGATCTAGTTAACAAGTTAAATAAAAGAATATTATCTCTTATTTTATTCTTTAACTATTTCAAAAATAACATTAAAAAAAATTACTTATAATTTTAAGGAAAAATGTGAAAAAAATAATTTTTCATATTTTTTATTATACTCATCCGATTCATACAAATTTCCTATTATCATATTAAATGCGAGAAAAACGAAAAAAAAAAATATATTTCATATTGCACAATACAATGCTATATTATGAATAAATGAATTAATTAACTTCTAAGTATTAATTAATTATAAAAATCTGATAAGAAGAATTAAATAAAAAATATTCTTGTAAGTTTAATTGTGTTTGAATAAATAGTTCATTTTCAATCATAATTAAACTCGTTTCATTTATCTAATGGTTAAATTATTCTGTTTCATTATATTCATAATGTTAATTATATTCAATCATAATTATAATATATTACATATACATATATTCTATGAAATAGTTTCTTCTCTATTGAAATAGTTTCAAATGTCAGCCTCTCCTTCGTATCGTTTTCTCGATTCTTAATTTTTTCGAATCGAATTCTATTCGATATTCATCTAAGAATAAAATTAAAAAAAGAAAAACAGAACTAGTAATTCAAAACGCTGATATGATTTTTATTATCTTTATATAAAAGTGTACTTTATTTTTTATGAAATAATAATTCTGATTGTAAATAAATTTAAATTTTCATTAATAAAATATTCATTAAATTGCAAAAGATGCTAGAATATTTTTTATATTATTATTAATTTATAAATATATTAATATATTATTATAAATAAAAACATAAAATTTTTGTATTCGTATCTATGTGTTTAATTTGGTAAATATAATTTTCATGTTTTACTAATAGAGAATAATATCTTAGTAAAATAAGAAGGTATCATATTAAAGTATGATCAAAGATCGTAATTGGACGTCATTCACGAATTCGAAGTAGCTCTACATACTGTTACATATCGATTTATGCATATGTGCAGAATGTATGTTAGAAAGATTATTTGATTCATCTTATACCCAGTAAGGTCATGATTAATTTCATGTTACCTCGATTTTATTATGTCAAAATTATGAATTTTAATTATATAAATATCTTTATAAGTGAAATAATAATATTATAAAATATTTTACAATTCAATTTTTAATTGATTAATATGATATTATTGATTTTAAATTAGATTAAATAAGTTGAAAGTTTTTTTTTTGATAAAAAATAAAAAAGAATGATATTATAACATATATTAAAGAAATAATCTAATTTATATTTTTAATATAAAAAAAAATAAATTATATAAACGTTAATAATGAAATATAATCAATTAAATTTTAAATCTTAATGAAATAAAATTGTATTCATTTTAAAAATATATTAATATTAGAAAATTATAAAAATTTTGTTTTTTTTTTCATAAGTACTATTTATAAATATCGAGTGAATATTTATTTTGTATAAAATATCTAAGAAACTGAATCAACATACATTTTTTCTGAAACTATCACGACGATTATCACTATATTATTTTTTCAGGTTCAATGTCTAGGTCACTATCGAGGAATGCTATTTATACTCGCAGGTGGTTTGTATCAAGTATTCTTGGACAGTTTGAAACTGTCGTCATACCATTGAATTCGATTCTAACTTTCACCGAACACTTCACCTCGGTCTCTATTCTTCATTTAATATTTACCATTTTATCGTTCATTTATGATAGACAGTTTTCAATATCATTAATAAACCATTTATTATTATTAAAATTATTCTTATAAAATCTTTTTATTGTAAATTCTCTTAAAGAAAAAATTGGTCGTTAAAATGATCATTTTATATGTAGTAGTCAACCATATATTATATATAATAATCAGTCTTATATGTTATGTAAAGAGGAAAGAAATATATTGTATATATCTTTTATTTATTTCACAAAATTTACTTACCGTTTTTTTAACAGTGTCTCGCAAAGATCTCTTCAAATTGGCCAAGTTATGGGGAACGATCTTCAACTGATTGACTGCAATTGGAGGTGGAGAAGCATCGTGTCGACGATTTTTGCAGTCCTGACAACCATTCGCGATAACATTTCTGATTGCATTGGGAATATCCCAAATTTTCGTCGCCTCACGAATTACTTTGGCGGATGGACCTCTGGCAAAATATGGCACAGGCTTGCCATCGTGTGTGCAGACTCCAGTTATGATAACAAGAGTATCCTGTGCCTTAAATCGTAAAAATTATAACTCTTTTAATTATTACAGAATTATAACCTTATTAAAATAAAAATGTAAGATAATAATCCAATTTATTATTAATTAATAAGAAAATATGTTCATTAACACATTCAATATATCAAAGAGTCATACTCTAGTGATGGATATTAATTTTCGATGAATAAAATGCAACGAAATAAAAAATGATTGTTCACGATGACTATATGTAAAAGGAAAGCCAGGTTATGTGAAAAATTTCTTTTCATCTTTCACATTTCTTGTAAAAGTTCGTGACCAATTGCTGTAGAATAAGAACTCTTCATGATGCGACCGTATACATTGTTACCATAAAATAGAAACTCTCGATGACGCGATCGTACGCATTGACCACTATAAAATATGAAATCCCTATGATGCATACGTTCACATCATCCATATTTGTTAATAAACTTAATCAGTGTCGAAAGAACTATTAATTTTTACGAAATTATTTACTTCACGTTGTAGAGTTTCCAACGCAGAATTAACTTCAGAGGCAGGTACTGAGGCGACCAATATGAAACCTTTTTCGTTTTCAACCGACTTCAATTCCTCGACCATGTCTATTAAATTGGATCGAAGGAAATGCGCTCTGCGAGACGGAATGGGTTCCTCAGAGGCGCCAACGTTTCCAAGAGATTCCAACAACGAGCGGAACAGGACCATCCTTATCTTCGAGAACATGTCGAACACGTTCCATGCAGTTTCGTCTGTTCGTGATAGATGAAATTTTATTTTAACTCTTTGCTTTAAAATTTAAACATGCTGGGCGAGAAAAATATTAAGAAATATTATTTACACGAATGAAGTGAGATAAAATAATAAAAATATTCGATCGACAATTAACAATTAATTAGATTTGTAAAACGGACAATAGAAGTTGCAATCAGTAGCAACTTCAGAATTGCGTGATTTCTTTTAGTTTTACATTTCAAAAATATATATATTTAAAAATTTGTAGAATATCATTCTAAGATATCTTAATAAAACTGCAATAGGTTAATGTAGTACTAGTAATGGATAACATATGCAATAGCATATGTAAATTATAAAGCAAGAATTTTTTAATATATAGTACTTATTAAAAAAATAGAAATATTATATATTAATAAAATGAAAATGAGACCATCTTCTCGATTGCTTTGCGTAGACATAAATGAGGAAACACGATTGGTTGGTTTTGCTACGTCGATCACGTGCCAGTCACGAATTTCCGGTTTGAGCTTGTGAATCTCTGGTTTCATGTTATTCTCTTCAATTTCGTCGAACTCTTTCGAAAGCCCTACAGTTTCTTCGAATCCAAATAAGGATGGAATTGTGAAGTTCCCATTTGACAATGTTCCTAATAAATAGATAATTATAATATACAAAATTATTTTTCTATATTGTTGAATAGATATTTGATGGAATAATTTAATTTATAATCAATATTTATACATAATTTGTATTCTCTACAAAATATATTTTGAAAAGATTAAGATTCTTCATAGAAGAAGAAGGATAAAAATTTATCAATCAAACCTGTAGTCATTCCTTTAACGTCTCGTGTCCAAAGCAATAATGACGCAATGTTTGAACGCAACATGTGCTCACAATCGTGTTTCTTGTCTCTGTTAGCAGAAATCAATGCATCGTCCAGTGAGAATCTTGATTGAATCTTGTCCACTTGATTGTTGTTACAACTCTGTTGTTACAACAGAAATTTAATATATTTTAAATATAAATATATTATATTTTAATTTAATTATATTTTAAATATATTTTAAATATAATAAAAATTTAATATATTTTAATATATATATAATAGAATTATATTAATAACTTTTTTTTTATATAACTTGATGATAAATGATAACTAATAAAATAAAATATCAATATCTCTATTTCTTCACTTAATAAATTCTCTAATAAATCAATTATTAAGAATTTCTTTTATAAAAATAAATGAAAATTGATCAAGATTAATCAAAGATAATGGAAAATTATACTTGAAGCATTCCTTCTACAGAGAAGAGATGAGAAGCCTTGAAGTTCTTCCAGAATTCCTCCTGATCCTGGCCAGGATCAGCAATGATCATGACAATATTAATGTTTTTCCCATTGTCTATGACGAAATCGAATCTTTTATCGCGTGCCGCGTCTGCAGGACTCGTTTGCTCCATCGTCTTCGTCGCTACCTTCGTGTCTGAGATTTGCAGACCCTTATCGATACCGGTCACTTCCGTTTTCGGGCTGGAAGTGTGGTCCACGGTGATTTTTTGATCTGTCTCTAACGATGGCACCACGTTCCAAGTAGCTGGAATATTTACTAGAAGAAAGATAAATTGCAATGTAATGTATAGAAATATGAAAATAGATTTTTATTAATATTTCTGATAATATTTTTGTTCACCTTTGAATTTTTCGTTTTGGGTATTCAAAAATTCTGAAAAAATTCAGGATACCTTGTTAGATTTCTATCTTATTATGCAGTAAATTTTTTTTACATTATTTTGTCACAAGATTTCTTCAATAGTAAAGTATTCACAAGAATAAAATTTGATCTAATTGAAATCTTCTTCTCTATGTACCTCAAAATAATTAGTATTATAATATTAATTTTAAAAAAAAGAGAAACATTATTACTAAATTAAATAAAAGTATCTTACAAATAAATTAAACTTTATTGAAAATATTCCAATTTTTACTAATCATTTTTATTTCAAAATTGAAAAGATTAATTATTACCAAGAAGATTCCATAAATATTAATTCATATATCTCAATTGACTTTAAAGAATTTTTTTTTTTTTTTGAAATGATTACCTGATCGTTCAGGACTAAATCCAGTGGAAGGCACCGTTATCGACATTACTGCGCCGAACAAAACCGTCAAAAAACGTTCTTGAAACATTTTTTGCTTCTTAAAATAAAAAATTCGTATTCGATCAAAGAGTAAATGTCAATTCGTGATATCAAAAATTGAAAAATCTTTTCATACTTGGCATAAATCTCACTATTAAAAGATTCAGCCTTGTATCTTTGATGTATTTTTTTCTTTTTTTGTTTAAAGTTTTTTTTTTAAATATAACGTATAAATTGTATTTTCTTTTTTTCTTTTTTTCTTTTTTACTTAAAAATCCGCGAACGATAAATACGTCTGTTACCTTCTCTCGAAAGAAGACGTTTATGGATGATGGATGCACAATCGACAAAAGATGATTGCCAAGTGAACATAAGAGTGTTGATATTTGATGCAATATTTGTTTTCCGAGATACTTGAAACTACTCCATTATAATTAATCCTTTTTTTTTTTGCAATATTAATATTTATTATCATGACATAATTAATATAGTATATCATACGATCAATATTTAATAGAAAAATGGATATAAAAGTTTTAAAAAAAGATGAGATAAATATTGGTATTAGGATATGTATTTCTAAATAGATAGATACATATTTTTCACAAAGTTATTTATTTGAAATTCATCTTCACTCCGTTTCTGGCATTGATGTCTCTGGAACTTCTTCTTCTTCAACGACAAAAATTTATTTATCTTGCGTATTATAATTTACATTATCTTAATTTTATATATATAAAAAAATACACAACTTTTAATAAAATTACAATTTGTTTCTTGAATAATAGAAGATAACAAGTAACAACATATGTATTATAATTTTGCATTTGAGAACTTGTATGATAGATATATCAGTTTCTTTAATTTTGTTGAAGAAATGCAAGATTCTTCTTAGACATTTTAATAAATCATAAGTTGGGTACCATTATTCTTTAACTGTGATCATTTCAATGATGTCAAGGTTGTTTAAAGTAACCTCTGATAATAAGCACGTATGAACATCTATAAGATAGCCTAGATAAATATATTCTTAGGATATTTTTTACAGTTTTATTATTTACAATAATAAGTACAATAAATAAAAAAAGAAATATAGATTGGATTATATAGATTGGATGAATTATCTACTTAAAAGTAATTAATAAATATATAACAAAGAATTGATTTTTTTCTCTTTCAAATTATTCCAAATATAAAATATTTTATAACTTAACTAATAGGTGGTTATCAATGAATTAAATTTTAAATGTGTCAATCATTTATCTGATATTTTAAGTGACCTATATAATTATTTTTTAAACGTATCATATTGACTTAAAAGAAGGATTATGTAAAGAAAATAGGGACATTACGTGTAATCATAGTCTTCCATTATTTAAAACAAACAAGTCTTTATATTGACAATTGTTAAAAAAAAATGTGTGAGTTTACGTGTTTGAAAAACATTTTTCATTGAATTCTTTGTTAATCCTACAAAATATTTTTTATTAAAATATAGAAAAATTCAAGTAAATAAAATTTACAAATAATTTTGACTAATAAATTTAGTTGAAAAGTAGAAAATAGCAAAACTTTCAAGGAAACTGGGCATATTGTTCAAAATGAAAGAATAAATTCTTAATTTTTGAAAACTTTAATTTTAAAATAATTAAAGATAAAAGATTTTTATGAATGTTGATGTTTTATTATTATTATATAATTATTTTGATATATGGAAATTAAAATAATTGATTTATAAAAATATTTATTTCTATTGTAAACAGTTTCAATTTCAATATTGACAGTTTCTCACAGTTTCTTATTGGATTTTCATATTTTGAATTCGTTAAGATTTTCTGATCAACCGATAAATTTAACTTAAATATTATTTCTTTTTCTTCTATTACAAAGTTGAGCTGGACGTTAGAAGGCACGGTTCGATGGAAGAACATTAGATTCTTACTATAGTCTACGGATACCCTGTTTATTTTATCGACATAAAGAAAATTTCTTTGACAACAACACAACAGCAATGAAATTATTGATCACGTTTTACCTTGCTTTTCATTTCATCAGGATGAATTTAAATTAAATCTACTCTCTTATCATATCACAATTTCATCATTTTCCAAATTATTCTACTCTCAATTATTTATTAACTTATTCCAACGTTACTTTATTCCAATCTATCCATATTTTTTCACAAATAAAAATAAAAACAATTTCTCTCAAATGGATGACACTGTGTCACGCTTTTACCCTTTACCCTTTCTTCTTCCCCTTGATATAGAAAATATTAAACTTTTATAATTTAAATATTCCTTTTAATTTAATTTAAATATTCCTTTTATTTTAATTTAAATATTCCTTTTAACTTCTATCCTTTAACAACCAACCAAATTGCCAGATTTAAACTCGTGAGGAAAGATTCGAAGTCGAAAATTAATAAAAAAAAATCATCCCTCGACAAAGAAAGATGTCCAAAGATCCTCTTAAACCATATTATACAACAAACTTTCTAGAATAAACCGTGTTCGAGACCTTCTTCCCCCAACGTATTTATCCATCCCCTGCTCCAATCGGTTCCCCTGCTCCATCGCCGCTCTTTCGAATGATCTGAATAATTGATGCGATTAGGGGAGGGGGGCTCCCCGTCGAGAAACAAGAAACAAGATGGCGGGCACGGTGAGCGAGCGGACGTCTGCGCCCAGGGCGGGATGGCCGCCCATTGGTCCACGTTTGGTGCCCTGCACCGTTGGAGGGGTCGCACAGGGGCGACAGGTGGCAGGTGAGGCAAGGTGGAGAAGGAAGAGAGGAGACGAACCCCCGTGGGGGGTTGGAGCGACTCGTTTTCTTAGTTTTCCTCGATCCTCCCGCGAGGAGTTCGCGTTGTTCGCCGTGGATTTGAACCGCGTGGCCCACGTACCCGCCTCAAGGTGAGAGAAAGAGTCGAGGGTTGGTTGGGTTTTCGAGCTTGGGATTCGAAATTCTTTTTTCTCCGTCTTTTGGTCTTAGGGTCGATGGAATTGATTTTGTTGTTGGCAGGGGGTTGATTGATGATGACTATGGTTAATTTTGATTAATTTGATAATTTCTCTTTTCCTTTTTTTTTTAAATTGGAATCGAGATTTGGAAATTTATTAGTCGTTATTATATTATAGTGAGCAGATTTTGAAGAAATTGTTTTATCTCTGGTATTTTTGATGAGGGATTTATGATTGAAGTTTTTGAATGTTTGGTGATTTTTCTTTCTTCATTGGGAATGGAATAAGAGAATTTTAAATTTATTAGTGATAATATACTAGTGTAGTAGATATGAAGAAATTCCTTTGTGTCTGGTATTTTTGATAGGAAATTGATAATGGTCCTATGGTTTTATTATTATGAAGTTTTTAAGAATTGGAGTGAAAGAATTTGAAATTTATTCTTGGTACTTTGGTTAGGGGGACTGATGACAGGAAGTGACAGGTTGAAGTTTTTGATTGAAGCTGAAATGAGAGAATTTGAAATTTATCAATAATAGTATATTAGTAAATTGTTTTATCTTTGATATTTTTGATAGGGGGATTGATGATGTCTGTGCTCTGATTTGATTGAGGTTTTTGAATGTTTGCTGATCTCTTTTTTGATTGGAAATGGAATTTGATATTTATTATGCACTTTGAAAATTGAAGGAAATTGTTTTATTTTATTTTCAATAGAGTTGATGATGATACGTGTTTTAATTATTAAAAAGTGATTTAAGTTGGGATTTTTGAATGTTTAAAGAAACTTAATCATGCATAAGAACTGAAAAGTTAAGATTGAGAAATTTTAAGATTTTTTATATTCTTTTCTCTTCCACTATTTGAGACTAGAAATAATATTAATTTAGATTATATTTGTGCAGTTGTTTGAAGAGTTGCAAAATAATTGGAAGAATTTCCAAAATTCATAAAATTGAGAAATTTATTAAAAATTTATTAAAATCATAGAATTTCAACGAGTTGTGATCGATTTGCATGTAATAATAAAATATCTAGCAGTCTTTTAGTGATCAAAAGACAATGAAATCTGCTGTCATTTATGGCCACGAAATGTAATTTCTATTATTTGTGGTTTCTATTATTTGTGGTCTTTTTATCTGTGGTCTTTTCAGAAAAGTTAGTGGAATCACAAAACATAGTCGTTTGTGGTTAGTCCGTTTGTCACGCAAAAATTTGTACAACTTGTTGAAGGGTTAATAAATGGGTAGCACAATCAAGTTATTAAAGAGAAAAATATTTTAATAATTTTCATTCATATTTCTTATTTTTAATTATAAAATTTATTATAAATTATCCAAGTTTCTTAGTATTTTTTATTCAACAAGAAAATTTCTTCAAAATGCTAAATAAAGATTTTTCATTTGTACTTCACTTGAAATTAATTCTCTGCTATTTCACAGTAGATCAAAATTTTATAAAATTACATTTCTTCTATCTACAAATGTACATGGAAGCAACAAGTCACATCTTCTTAATTCTCAAGAATAAAAGAAAAAGAAAAACAGTGTTTAGTCAGAAAGCAAAGTTAAATTTAAGTTAAATAATCATTTAAATTAATTTTCATGAATAAAAAAAAAATCTTACCACAACTCAACAACAAACAATTTTCATTTCTCCACTCGTTTGCCAACTTTATTCTTTTAATTTCCAAAGAAGAATTGCAAAACTTGCAAAATTTTGTCATGTTATAGATTATAGACTACGATTCTGCATTTCACAAACTGGAAATCTCATCAATAATGCGACAACAGATGCGAAATTAAACATTGCCCATTAATTATAGCTCAAGGGCACAAGCTATGATATATCAACCAATTATAAAACTATACACTTCTTATATATGTCCCATTAAAGAAGATATTATACATATTTAATTATAAATTTTTATCTCTTTATAATTTAACTTATAAATAGATTATATTAGTTCATTCCCTGCAATTTATGTCCATCTTTGTTTCTCACTTATTATTAAGAGAATTAAGGATAAAGAAAATAATACATGTTGATTTCTGTGTATATGTAATTGTTTTAAACTATTTAGAAATGTATATATATATGAGAAAATTTGAATGAATATATTTGTTGATGATCTTTGGACAATGGGCTTAGCAAGGAAGGCTTAGAGTATTTCTGCTTTGGCTTTGGTTTAATGCATTCAATGACAAATGTGCAATCTATTACAACACTTTGTAATCATTTCTTTTAGAATGGATTATACACATTTTTTTTCTTTTTTTTTTTTTTTTTTTTTGTATATACACTTTACAAACGACTTTTACATTCTGATGCAATAACCATAAACCAGAGAATAATGGTTTAAAGTTAAAAAAAAAAACATCCTTTCCTCTTTTTACTCGTATTGTGCTCATTGTGCGTCGAATTTATTTTCAAAAAAAAAAAAATTCCCTTTTTATATCGCGTTTCGAAAAAAATTCAATTTTATTTTATTGTTCAATTATTATAAACTCGTTCGTCTATTATTTTTTCCTCTTTTATTTCAATCCCTCCTTAGGCAGCCTAATTTTTTAATGCGACAAAATATTATCAATAATTCAGATATTTTTCTGATAATTTTTTTACAACTACCTTTAATTAATTTGAAAGTAAAAATAAATGAAAAACATATATAAATATATATATAATCAATAATTCAGATATTTTTCTGCTATTTTTTCACAATTATTTTTTAATTAATAAAAGAGTAAAGATTAACAATGGATGAAAATGTACATGCACCATGCACTGACATTGATCATTAGATATAACGTCAATCACGACAGTGCACAGATATCAGATTCATTTCAAAATAATTAATTCTAATAAGAAGATATAATATATATAATGAAATATCCAAAAATAAATAAATAAATAAATAAAAATATATATCGAATCAATTTCAATCTTTCTCAGATGATGAAGTTCAAGCAACAGGGGCTAATCGCCGACTTGATGCCCAACATAAACTTGATGAAAGCAACTGGCCACTTCATGTTCAATTACTACACTGACAGTTCCACGAAACACATACACAAGATCTACTGTATCGTACGTAGAACAGATAAAAAAAATTATTTAAATATTTATATATAAAATAAATATTCTACAATTGCAAAAGATCAATTACTGGAGAGAAAGGATTGACTATTCCATTCAGAGGTAAGTATCGATTTTTACTTTTCATGCAAACCAGAGTCTTTTAATTTATTTTTTTCGAATGTGAAAAAAGGATGAGAGAGAGGGGAGAGGGGGGAGAGAGGAAGAGGAGCTACAATCATAAATCCAGAGATCAAGTATCCTTGAAATAATAATACAAAGCAACGATAAAAATTTTATTTTTTTTTTAACAATATTTTTTTATATAGTAATACGTTTGACAATGTTTATTTGATTAAAATAAAGATTTATTGGAAATAATGATATAATTGTATCTTGTATTTGATGAATAATAATTTTGTTTATTATTTGTCAAATAAATAAATATATATAATAAAAGTTATAAAATGTTTGGTTATATATTAATATGTAGAAATTTTAAAAATTAGAATTTAATTTAAAAAAAAAAAGATAAAAGTAAAAAGAATTTTCCATTTGTATTAATTGCTTCATTTATTGTTTGATTGATATTCTTCCTTTTTTTCTTTTATTGAGCTTTTCAATTTGTTGTAGTTCTTTCCCTTTCACTTGCTAGCCTTTTTTACGTTTGGCGTTTTTTTTACGGTTGGAAAAAACGTAGACAAAGTGAACTCTGGTCGAGACGTATGAAAAGTAAAAAGCAATTATAACGGGTGTTTCGCGTAAAGAATATTTCATTTTTAAAAAGTGTTAAAAATGTTTCGAATAAAAGTTAAAATAAAAAATATGGTGAAACATTTTTTTTGTAGAAAATGTTAGGATACATCGATTCGTTTGCATAAAAAATACACGATTCTATTTAAGAAAACGAAATTAACTTTCTTAACTTTTTTACATATCTATCTACGAAAAGATTAATAACGTCAGAATTTAGTCCCTATGAAATTGTTTAACTTTTGTCTGAAACATTTTTTAATATTATAAAAAATAAGCAAAATATGAAAATAAGTGATAAAATTACGTGAAATATCCTATATATTTGTTAATCTCATAGAATTAAGTAAACTATCAAAAAATGAATTAAAAAGGTAAGTATGTACAAGTACAAAACAGGTAAGAATATTAAATTGCAAAAAAATTTAACCTCTTCAAAAATTATATTCTCCTAATACAAAGTTGAAAAATTGGACGAAGATTTCATTCAATGTAATTCTAAGCATTTCAGAAATTCTAGGAATTTGACGTCAGTTCCGAGAATTTAGAAAATTCTACGAATTTGACGTCATTTCCAAGAATTTCAGGACTTCCGAGAATTTGACGTCATTTCTCGGAAAAATTTTTCGATCGACCTCCTATCGTATCATGTTCTCCTAATACAAAGTCGAATTTTTGGACAAAAATTTTTCTATCGCTCGGGGAATTTCGATTTCAATCCTTTTTATTAAATATCTCGCTTATTCATCATAATACGAAAAAATGCTTGGAATAAAAGTTGAACAGCTTCAAAAGGGCTATATTCTGGAGCCCTCAATTTTTTCGTAGGTGGACTCATAAAAAAGTAATCAACCTCAACCAATTTTTTTTAAATGGCATCATATATTTTTTAATGCGCCAATTTATGTATCGTGGCATTCTCTACAAAAACGTATCGAACCATTTATAGCAAAAAACCATTGGTTTAAAAGTTATTTAATTTTATTATTTAAATTTATTAAATTTATTTATCATTCCAACTACAAATTTTTTATTATATACGGTTTAGCACTTTTTTATACAGAATATCATGATACATCTACTGGAGCATTAATAAGTGTATACTTCCATTTAAAAAAACAATATTTACTTCCTTGAAACCCTTCAGCTTTTATTTCAAACATTTTTTAATATTTCCAAAAACAAACGAGATACATCAGATAATATTATTCGGACACCCGGTATAATATATTATGCAATCGGTTGTTAAAAACAATCGAGAAATTTCGAATAAAAAAAAAAAATCTTTGAATTCTTAAAAAATTAAAAAAATGATAAAAAACGCACTAAAAGTAGCAGTTTTTATGATAGAATACAAGTTTCCAAGTGATATGTATTCAAATTTATGTGAAATTGTAAAAAAAAATATTCAAAAGCCCTGAGAAATAGCAACACTATGAAAAGTGATAAAAAAGTAAGTATGGGAACGGCACATGTATGATAAATGTGTAAAAACTCCTTTTAAATTATGTTCTCCTAATACAAAGTCGAATTTTTGTGCCGAATGTTTCGTTCGGTCGGAGAGTTCCAAGAATTTGACGTCAGTTCCGAGAATTTCTAAAATTCTAGGAATTTGACGTCATTTCCAAGAATTTCAGGGCTTCCGAGAATTTGACGTCATTTCTCGGAAAAATTTTTCGATCGACCTCCTATCGTATCATGTTCTCCTAATATAAAATGAAATTTTTGGCCAAAATTTATTTCGTTTCATTCATTCAGAAAATTCCAGGAATTTTACGTCACTTCGAAGAATTTTAGAAATTCTTAGAATTTGGCGTCATTTCCAAGAATTGCTAAAATTCTTGGAAAAATTTCTCGAATGACTTCCTATCAAATTATGTTCTCTTAATACAAAGTCTAAATTTTGTGCAACAAAAATTTTTGGTCGATTTTTTTACTTTGAATTAGCAGAATATAATTGGATAGGAGATTTTTTTTTAAAAACAAATAACGTTTAATTTCGTTAAAACAAATTTTTACGAAATTAAATATACTTACCTGTAAAATACTTACCTGTTTGTTACACCATCATTTTTTTATTTTTTTTTTCAACAGTTTTCTTAATTCTAAAGATACTTACCTTTTGCATACTTACTTCTTACAAAGAAAGCTATCATCTGTCAATGTTTTTTTAATTTTAAAGAATTCATATACCGAGTATTTCATATATCTTTATATTTAGAATATCTCGCTTATTTTCTATAATATTGAAAAATGTTTCAAATAAAAGTTGAATGGTTTCAAGGGAGCTATGTTCCTGCTATTAATTTTTTTCTCAAGAAAGAATGAAGAAATTGAAACTCAATTTTATTTTCTTAAATGAAATCGCATACTTTTTAATATATCAATGTATCTCAACATTCCCTATAAAAAACTATATATTTGACCATATAAATTAAAAAATTATTAGTTTACCAGATAATTAAATATAATTAAATATCTCCTAAAATAATAACTTTTCGCAATAAATGCTTCAATACTTTTTTATAGAGTGTAATAAGCTGCATTTACTTATGCATTGAAAAATATATAATTCTATTTAAGAAAATAAAGTTGATCTTCATACGATCTCTACTTGCCGTCAAAGCACAAAAGCAATTATATCACGCTATACCCCTTTCGAAACCATTCAACTTTTGTCCCAAACATTTTCTAATATTTTCAAAAGTAACCGAGATATTTCATTTATTCGTAATAAAGTTACATAGGACACCCGGTATATCTTTCGTTCGATGCCTAAAAAAACTTCTAAATATCATTCGCATCGTTACCAAACTCTGCAACCAATCTCTAAATTAATCTCTAAATTCTATACTACACCTTATCGTATCACTTATTCCATCTATCAACAATTTTCAATCCAAAATCGAACGATTTAAAATAAAAAAAAAAAAAAAATGGAACCAGGTCCACCTGATCCTGATACTGATGCAGTTCGGATTCTGCGGTATCAATCTAATGATGGAGAGCGACGACGTGGACGATCTCACCGCGAACACCATCACCATGCTCTTCTTCACGCACAGCGTGGTCAAGCTCGTTTATTTCGCGGTCAGGAGTAAATTGTTCTACAGAACGCTTGGCATATGGAACAATCCGAACAGCCATCCCCTCTTCGCCGAGAGCAACGCGCGATACCATCAGATAGCCGTTAAGAAGATGAGGATACTCCTGCTGGCGGTTATAGGGACCACAGTGCTGTCCACCATTTCTTGGACCACCATCACGTTCATTGGTGACTCTGTGAAAAAGGTCATCGATCCTGTCACTAACGAAACAACCTACGTCGAGGTGACCTGATTATTTTTCTTACTCTTTTTTTACACAATATTTATTCATTATTAAAATATCGGATATTGCGCATTAAATTGCGCGATAATAAAGTATATTAAGTATCAATTTATTAAAATTAAAATTACTTGGATTATTTTAAGCAAATTGTTGTAATCGATTTAATTTTCTTGAATTCTTGGATTCGTGAGTTTGATTTGAAAAATTAATAAAAAAAGATGATTATTGAAGATTATCTAAAAATTGTTTAACTTCCACAAAGTCAGAATTTATATCCGAATCAATTTTAATCGAAAGCACGTGTTTTTATCCAGATACCAAGATTGATGGTTCGTTCCTGGTACCCGTACGATCCCAGTCACGGGATGGCCCATATTTTAACATTGATATTCCAATTTTACTGGCTGATATTCTGCATGGCAGACGCGAATCTATTGGACGTGCTGTTCTGCTCGTGGCTCCTGTTCGCTTGCGAGCAGATTCAGCATTTGAAGAATATCATGAAACCTCTGATGGAATTCAGCGCCACGCTGGACACCGTCGTGCCAAACAGTGGAGAGCTGTTCAAGGTTAAGCTAGAGGGATCTGCATATTTCTATCTACAGAAAAATTGAAAAAGAAAAAAAATCTAATAATAACGATAAATTGGTATAACGAGAAAAATCTATAAAATGAAAAAAAAAAAAATAATAGAAACTTGATACCAACACAAGAGAGGTGGATGATCATTAAATTTGCCTCCTTATTCAGGCTGGTAGCGCAGAGCAACCGAAGGAACAGGAGCCATTGCCACCAATCACACCACCCCAGGGTGAAAATATGTTGGACATGGATCTTCGAGGGATATACAGCAACAGGACCGACTTCACGACCACCTTCAGGCCAACTGCTGGAATGACGTTCAACGGTGGTGTTGGGCCAAATGGATTAACCAAGAAACAGGAAATGCTGGTACGAAGCGCCATCAAGTACTGGGTAGAGAGGCACAAGCATATCGTTAGGTGAGTACGTATTTTTATTTTTCTAATATTTGTTATTACAATACGATGAATTATCTTTTCATAACGCAAGGAAAAATTTAGTAATTAGTTTTGAAGAATAAAATTTTTCAATGAAGAAATTCCATTGAATTATTTGAAATTAAAAATAAAATTTTTATTTTTTAAAATTAGATAGATTTAATTGAATTTTGAAAGAACACGTATATCTTCAATCGAAATTATATCACTACTAAAGGAAGAAAAAAAGGAATAACAATATTCCTCGCTTGAAAAATAATTTTTACTATTTAAATTTTTTCCCACGGGATCGAGAATAAAATTTCCATATCGAAGTTAAATTACACATCAAATTGCAATTTCAAAGTTCGTCAACGTCTTGACTGCAACCCAGTTTCCCAATTTCGATTCTCATCTCGAGTTCGTTTCTCCACACGGAAATGTAATTCACGCCGACAACGAGAGAACCTTTCACATTCGTGACTCCAACAATGGGAGACTTCCATTAGGATAATAATCGCAGAGATAGGCGATCGAGAAAATTCGCGCGATTTCGTTGCGGCTTACACTTTTAAGGGGATGCCATTGTGGGAAAAAAATGGTTAATTCGATTCGAAAATATTAATAAGTTCGAAATTTTTGACTCGAAATTTTTTATTTCTTTGAAAATGATGATTAAAAAGAATTGTTTAGAAAATGTTTCCAACGGATGAGATTATTGATATTAAAAGAATATATTAGTATCAAAAAAATATATATATATCTTTTTCGATTTTTGAGAGAAAGTCTTTATTTTAGTTAATATCGAAAAAAGAGATTGAGAAATTCTGATTGAAATTCTGTTTGTTTAAAATCAGAGGAGAATTCTTCGAGTATTTTTACTTAGATTTTATAAAGACAATTTTTTAATTAAGAAAATAATTTGAAATTAACAAAAACTCTTCGCATAAATTGATGGAACTGGATTTGTTATTCGAGGAGAATTGCATGGAATAATTCTAATTGATCAAAAGTTTTCGTATAAATTATCATTACTTATGAAATATCAGAAGAAAAGTAAAGAAAAATAACCATGAGAAAGGATTAAATGAATGTACATAAATTAATATGTTTTTATTAATATTTTCAATTTAAAGTTCAAAAGTTCATAATAGAAATAATCTTTAACAATTTTTATTTGTATAACAGAGATATTCTAATATTTTTGTTCAAAAAAGTAAAATATATATGTATATATTTATTGTAATATTTTTTTTATTATTTAAGAAATAAAATTAAAAGACACAAGTAACAGTACATAAAATTTAGAAACCATTGTTGAAACAATAGTCTTTAATTTTACAGTTTTTCAGAGAAGTGTAAAATTGAATAAAAAATTATGTCAGAGATAAAAATAATGCATTTTTAAAAGACTGCACGAATTCTCGAAATTCAAAAATTTAAAAAAGTAATAAAAAAAATGCAATAAAGTTTAAAAATAAAAAGTACGAATTGTAAAAAATATAAGAAAAAAAAATAAATAAATATCTATTTTTCCAATTTTGGATTAGCATAATTTTACGTGCGAGTCTCAATTTTCACGTCTGCTGCACTACCAGTGAATAATTCACAAAAGACAGAAATTTTTTCCTCCACGTTACATGTACGCGAATGTAAAATCAATATTCTGTTTACTCCACGTTTTCTATTACTCGAGCCAATCTTAGTTGGAAACAAACACGCTCGTTCTATCCGCGAAACATGTCGTCCATGGAAATTTTGTTTAAAAAATTTATTTTTTTTCGAAATTTCTTTGACGGAATTTCGATAGAAAGATATCGAGTTTGAACAAGTCTGTTTCATTTCAGTCAATTTAATCTGGACTCTTATAATTAGTCGAACATACACACAATATTTGTCATTTGTTTCGTGGAGAAATTTACTCTTCAACAATCGAATAATCTCTACCATTAACGAGTGGTAATTTTTCATATATCGATAAACTTTAATGACGAGTTGGATTCGCGATTCTACGCAAATTTATCGCGCTTTTTATATAGTTATAATTTAACAAGCACAGTTAATAAATAGATAACTTATGAAACAAAAATGAACTTGAAATTATTAATTACTTTATTAAACGAGTTGTATTTTTGTATGCTTTTAATACATTATTCTAATCAGTAATATATATAATAGATATTCGAATATTATATTAAATATCTTTCGTTATAATATTATAATTCATTACTATAAAATATTTAATTTAATGATATTCTTTATTTCTTACAACTAATTTCCAATTAATATTTTCTACAATTACAATCTTCTATTTCTTCTATTTCTTAATCGTATTACCATAACCTCCAATTTACAATCGCGTAAATTTCATTTCATATTTCTTCCCAATCACATGACTTTCAAACAAACACTATTTCTAATTTAAACATAAAAAAAAAAAGAAATAAAAATATACAGATCTACAAGTAAAATATCCCGAAACAATACGAGAAACTGTCAAAAAGAATCACCGAAAATCCAACAGAGCGTAAATTCGCGATAAAGTTTCGCGTATTGCGAGCTAGTTACTCGCAAAAGGCGGGAACATTTGAAACGTCGAGTAGAACGAAAAGTCGCGCGTAAAGTCTTTCCGCGAGTAAATTTTCAAAGAAGTGGAAGAAAGAATATACGATATAGATTGTTGAACAGCGCAGGAAAGACAGAAGGGGAGTGCGTGTGTTCCCACGGTGGTGAAGTATTTATTTCTAAGAGAACGCGATATTGACCGCAACTGGGGACGTGCAGAGCGCGTGGTGGACAATTTATTGGACAATTCATAGGTTGTACTTACTTGTTCACGTGTGCGATCGGTATACGTGTTCCGACACGTGTATGTACACGTTTTCATCGTTGTCACTGGACAGAATGCACAGAATGCAGAGCATGTTCGAAGTTTGCCCTTCGACCGGATCCTTGCTCCGCTTTACGGCAAGGAAAAATACACGAAAACCTGTTGCCTTACGCTTTGTGGAAAGAAGCGGGTGTCGAATAATAAATATTTCAAATATTGTTTAATTATTATTAAATTTTGTTCGGTTTAAATAAAATAATGTTTGAAAGAGTAAAATTTCACAAGGGAAGTAAAATATTTTCATTTTAACAATTTGAACGAAATAAAAAATAGAATATTTTGTTTTAATAATCTAAATAACGTATTTTAATCATAAATATATTGAATTCGAATGTATTATATTCAATAATAATATTTAAAGTAATGGAAATAAATTAAAGTGAATAAAACAAAATCCAAATACTTTGAAATACTGTTTTAAAAATTTACTGTATCAAATAAAATATTTCATTTTTAAAATTATATACTTTATATACTTTAAAATAAATAGGATTATTTATTATTATTTAAAATAATATTTTATTCAGCTCTAAAAAGAACCTGTAAAATAATATGAAATTATAGATATTAATAATAATATTATTTATTAATGTATTTATCAATATAAAATATATTTATTAATTTTTTTGTTTTTTTTTATCAACGTTAATATTTTGAATTTTGCTTGAATCTTAAGTAAATACAACGTTTTGTTAAAAAGGTTGATAAAAGATTTAATGTCTGCAGACAAAATGTAAAAATACGAGATAAGAAAAGCAATAAATTGAACTATAAAGTATCATTCCTTAAAAATTCATGGATGAAGTTGTAAAACATTTATCTCGATTTGCCACGAATGGCATTCTTCTTTAGATAAATGCTTTCCATAATTGGAGAGTGTTCGTATTGTATCAGTCTGATGAATTTTTTTCTTGGAAATTGATATTCGAAGGTATTTGCTTCTTGAATTCCTAAAATTTTAAAACGATTGAAAGATGATAATGTTACGAAGAAATTGAAATATTTATCTTTTATTTTATTCTCGTTCTAAAAAAGATAAAAAATAGAGGATCTCAACGAGAAATTAGAAATAAAATTTTTTCAACTCTAAAATATTTAATCCTACGTTAAATAAATAATGAATAAAATTAGGAATTAAGAAGAAATAAATTATTATTTCGATACAATTTGAAAGAAAATTTTTTGCAGATAGATATCATTTAAGATTAATCCTTATATTGAAAGAAAATAAGAAATATTAGTTTTATATCTAGTTTGAAAGTTTGCAAGAGGCTTATTTATGATAATTCTCACGAGTAAGAATCATTTTATATTTTAATTTAAAGTTTGAAAGAAGTTTTGATTAAAGGGAACAAACAAAATACCATAAAAATTTATGTATATATAAATATAAAAAGTAATCAAGATAAGAAATAATATATATATAAGAAGAAAATAATAAATTGAATAACACTTCACTCCTTAATTTTTTTCCTTTTAAGATACTTCCAGATATCGATTCAACTTGATTTAACGATACCCTTGTGAATTGTATTATTTAAACGTTAAAAAAGGAAGCACAGAATCACGAGGAGAAATAAAGAGGAGGCAAAAAGAGAGAGAGAGATTGTTCAATCATGAACTCTAATCAACTGGTTAAATGCAATCCAATGAACTAGGTCGAATTAAAACTTTGTTGTATCGTAGCCACAGGAGCTTAATAACAGATTGAATTTGTCCTGTTTTAACGAGAACTCTAAGCCTATGATATATTCAAACAAACAGTGAAATGCAGCACAAAATTTTTAAGTTGATTTAGAAACGATACAGAAAATTATTCCATAAAATTAATATTTATCTATAATACGCTTACATTACTCTGTAATTGTACTAAAGAGAACATATATACGTGAAAATAAAATATTGTTTTTGAAAGATAAAAAATATTAATAATCAAAAAAATTATATTAACATTAAAAATTAACTTTGATTGTTAAAACGTTTTATTTCGTTAGACTCGTAACTGCAATTGGAGACGCCTATGGTGTAGCTTTGCTGCTACACATGTTGACTACCACTATTACATTAACTTTGCTCGCTTACCAAGCAACAAAGGTAATTTTTATATACATAAAGTATCGAGATACAAAGTAAAATATATCAAAACAAAATTAGAAAGATTCTATTATTCTAAGTGTCAATATTAACAAAGAGAATTTAATATTTTATCTTTTAGATACACGCAGTAGATACGTACGCAGCATCAGTAGTAGGTTATTTGCTGTACTCTCTAGGACAAGTATTTATGCTCTGTATATTTGGAAATCGTCTCATTGAAGAGGTACGTATATACGATTATTCTTACTTATTCTTACTTCTTAATTTTTAATCAAGTGAAAAACAATTATTTAATAGTTTAAAAATTATAATAAAATTTAAAATTGTATTCCATATATAGAGCTCGTCAGTGATGGAAGCAGCTTATTCTTGCCACTGGTATGATGGATCAGAGGAGGCCAAAACCTTTGTACAGATTGTCTGTCAACAGTGTCAGAAGGCGATGTCGATTTCAGGGGCGAAGTTCTTCACTGTATCTTTGGATCTCTTCGCTTCGGTAAACGAAAAATCTTTCTTTCACGCATTAAATTCATATTATATAATTAATGCTATTCAACAAATTTCAATTTTTGGATAAAACTCGTATTTATTTAAAATATCGTTATAGAATACGATAATGTAATTACTTATTATTAATCAAGACTCCTGAATATATTTAAAATTCCCTAGAATATCCCTAAATATATAAAATCCTAGATATTTTTAAGAAATTTTCAAGTTCTTGATACCTTGGATTCTCATACGTTTTGATAATTACGTAATAATTACGTAAAAATTTCCTAGAAAATCTCTAGAATATAAAATCCTGGATATTCTTTCAAATCCTGTAAATATGCAACAAGAAATTTAAAACTTGATGAT